TCTCTAAAAACAAAATAATCAAAGAAAGCCCCTGCCACTCGTGCATAGCACAATACAGGCAAATGCTGAAAGGCAGCCCTTTGGCTTTCTGTACTGGCCACGGCTATGCCATGTGCATGCTTGAGTGCCAACTTATTTCTTGAGGAATATTTTTTGAGAGGAATTTTCTCCCTCCTATGCAAGCTGACTCCCATGGCTGTATTGGAGATGCTTGATGATCAAATCAGGCCTACAGGCCTTACGTTTACTGCTCTTGATTTAGGCAACCATTTAGGCAACTGCCATGTGCAGCCTCCATCCACTACATGCAAATGGCATGGGCTACGGTGGCAACAAATTCTGTAAATTAATTGTGTGTTGCATTAAGAAGCATTTTCTTTTGCCTATCCTGAATTTGATTCTCATCAATTTCCTTGGGTGATCCTAAGTATTATAGCAGAGAAAGAGAAATTGCTACCTCTCTTTTGCATACATTTCATACCCTCCTTTAGTCATATTTTTCTAAACTAAAAAGCTTCAGATATTCAGCCTTTCCCAAAATAAGAGGTGCCTAAACTTGACCAAGGGACGCGGGTGGCGCTGTGGGTTAAACCACAGAGCCTAGGACTTGCCGATCAGAAGGTCAGCGGTTCAAATCCCTGCGACGGGTGAGCTCCCGTTTCTCGGTCCCTGCTCCTGCCAACCTAGCAGTTCGAAAGCACGTCAAAGTGCAAGTAGATAAATAGGTACCACTCCGGCGGGAAGGTAAACGGCGTTTCCGTGTGCTGCTCTGGTTCGCCAGAAGCGGCTTTGTCATGCTGGCCACATGACCCGGAAGCTGTACGCCGGCTCCCTCGGCCAATAAAGCGAGATGAGCGCCGCAACCCCAGAGTTGGCCACGACTGGACCTAATGGTCAGGGGTCCCTTTACCTTTACCTTTAAACTTGACCAAACCCTCCCGGGTCTAAAACTTCCTGACCATTGCAGTATGATCTGAAACTCTTTCAACTGTTATCCATCATCCAAAGCTCTTCCTGAGTGTTTCACTTTTCGATAGAACATGCCATTTCAGGACCATGCTTAGCTAGAAAGTCTAGAATAGATACGTTGGTTGGACACACTGAATATGATTGAGCATTTTCCGGGCAGTTAAGTACCATTCAGAAATATCTCGTAAAGGATATCACAGAGCTGGATAAGGTTCAGAAAAGGGCAAATAAAATGATCAAAAGGATGGAGCATCTTCCTTATGAAGACAGTCTTAAAAGGTTTAGAAAAGCAGCGACCAAGCCAAAGGGGAACTGAGATGGAAAATTATAAAATTATGAATGGTATATGCAGACGGTGGAGAGAGGCATCATTCTCAGAACACGAGAACTCAGAGTTTTCAGCAAGAGAAACTGTGGCAGAGAACAATGAGGCTGCGTACACGAGAGTGTTAATGCACATGTGGGTGCTCACTGTGATCAACTCCCACCTGGAAACCTATGTCCCCACTGTGGAAGGACGTGTGGAACCAGAACTGGCCTCCAATTACTTACAGACACACCGTTAAAAACAATCTTACTTGACGATGAGTGGTTGCCAAAGAAGAAGAGTCACACAGATTAATTTTTCCGTGTGAGCTTTTGTGCACATTCATTAACAAATGAGTGCTTTCAGCTGAGTGCAATCTCAATGTTTCCCAGTGGTTGGTGCTTAATGGGATGTATTCACACTGAGTGTTGTTGTCTCCTCCCCTCAACTAGTACTCCCCCAAGTTCCCAAAACCTGGTGTCCATGGAGGGCATGCACACAGGTATTTGTTTAGCTACAGTGGTGCCCCGCAAGACGAATGCCTCGCAAGACGGAAAAACCGCTAGACGAAAGGGTTTTCCGTTTTGAAGTTGCTTCGCAGGACGAATTCCCCTATGGGCTTGCTTCGCAAGACGAAAATATCTTGCGAGTCTAGAGATATTTTTTTCGCTTTTCCCCCCCTTTATCTAATCTGCTAAGCCTTTAATAGCCTTTAATAGCCTTTTAGCAGCTAATCCCCTAAGCCTTTAAGCCTTTAATAGCCGCTAAACAGCTGATAGCGCTAATAGCGCTAATCCGTCAATGGGCTTGCTTCGCAAGACGAAAAAACCGCTAGACGAAGACTCTTGCGGAACGGATTAATTTCGTCTTGCGAGGCACCACTGTATGTGCATGGCCTTTTTATTTCTCTCTTTGAGATGCAAGTTTTCCAATATAGCAGACTTGCACCAAACATCAGGTGTTTTTTTTAAAAAAAAATAGCATGTTGATCCTATTCCCACCAGCAACCCACTGAGGAGTGCCTTACCAATGGAAGTAGGGGGTGTGGTAGTAGGTGGCATGCAGCAAAACATCACACACACCCCAAACTGCCTATGCAATGCATTTCAGTCCATTCACAGTTGGGTAATGTAAGTTCTTAATGTTAACTCTTTACTCTCAACAGAATTCTCATTGAATGCTGTAATCTAAACGACCACACTCCATCTGCTTCTCCACCAACCCATTGTATGGTTGAATATCTTCTCTACTGAAGTCAATTCTGTTGATTGCTTTTAGCAAACAATTCATGTACTTGTCCCTCCACCCCCATCCAGATCTAAAATCCTCACTTGTTCCCAAGAGTCTTTGGGCTCACCCACACTTCGTTTGTCCTATGATTTATTCTGTTTGTCCTGTGATTTCTAGTCATGGGTCTGAGATGTTTTAGTTTTGTCCCACCACTTTCCCCGAAAAAAACCGCTGTTTACTGCTGAATCAGAACAAACATCAATCTGCAGAAAACCCGACTGACACTTGTTCTGATTCAGCAGTAAACAGTGGCTTTTCCTGGAGAAACTGACATGCCAAAACAACCTCTCAGAACCATGACTAGAAATTATGGGACAAACAGAAGTGTGGATGAGCCCTTTGTTCTTTAGGGGTGAGGGCAACTGAATTTTCAAGCAGCTCTGTGACACAGCTGGTGTGGATTCAGGTGGGTAAAACCAAGCTACAGTTCCCAGGGGTCAATAAAATAATGTGAATGGTGTGGCAGCATCTGCATTGCTTTAAAAACAATATATTGTCATAAACTGCTTTGATATTTTATGAGAGGGCAGTATCTAAATGCTTTTTAAAACAAATAAAAATGTGTCAACATTAGATCTGGGAAAGAGCTTTTGAGAAACAGACTAGCTTTTTCTAAGTGCTTGCAAAGTTTTCGGTTGAATAACTTTCTTGTAAAGAATTTCATTTATTTGGAACAGTTAAATATTCTTGGCTAATTTGCTTTTTTCTTGTTTTGGGGGATAGGCACTTCTTGGATGTCAGGTTGCTACTGTGGTATTTCAAAAGTACTCCCTAAGAACTCGCAGGTGGACTTCCTAGAACCTTATCAGAGGTTCACAGAAAACAAATTTGGTAATGGAAGACAAAGACAGCTTGTTCACCATTATATCTTCCATTTCAAGGAGCAACTTCAGGGAACCTCTCTGTTTGCACAGGGTAGCAGTCGCCTGGCGGGCTCCCTATATATGAACAAACAGCAGGTCTTAGAACATCCTTCCCCAACCTGCTACCCTCCTGATGTTTCGGACTACAATTTCCATTTGCTGTGCTGGCTGAGGCTGAGGGGAGTGTTAGTCCAAAACATCAGGAGGATACCAGGTTGAGAAGGCTACCTTCGAATGTGCCCCAGAATCCTTTGCAACACACCAGAGTTCTGGCAGAGAAATGATGTGGAAAGAGTTCCTGAAGAGAAGGAAATGTGGAAGCTACTGGGCTCTTGCATAGCGTTTTCCGTCACAGGAACAAAAGTTGGGGCAATTTCCCCCCATGTTGAATTGGGTAGTGCCCAAATTTTGATGGGTTTTCAAACACTGATTCCCATTCCTGTTCCCTGTATGTTTGAAACCAGTTCTCCATCCCTCAAAGTCCAGAAAGCTTAGAGAGAAAAGTTGGGTTGAAAAAAAGTCTAATAGTCGCATAATTTCTGTGTAGAGAACAAATCAAATTCAGTTCAGCTTCTCTTTGTCAAACTCCATCTCTCACCCCCCCCCCCGCTTCTTCCACCCTCCTGCGGGTGACTTCTCTTTTGAATAATTTACACCCGCACTTAGCATGACAGAAGGTTGCTAGTCTGACAGTTCGTCTGAATGAATGATGACTTTCATTATGTCAGGGTGGATGGCAAGAAGAACATGCCCCTGCAAGACCTCGGCCTTCTGCACATAGGCCAGCAACACTCCGGAGCCCCCTCCCACTCCTGGTGCCCCTTCTGGGTCCCTCCTCCTGCTTGTTTGCGTTGTGTGGCTCCCGCACGCAGCCCCTCCCGGCAGGCGGCGTGACAAGTGCTGCTCTCATCTTGCTAGAAAATTTCTAATTAATTAGGTTTATTTATAACAAGAAACAAACAAACATCGTCCAGAGAAGAACAGGGCAGGGCACACAAGATTTGACAAACTGTACTAAGAAGCAGATGGTGCTAAGGCTGAGAGCCAGGATGCCTGATTTCTCCTGGGATGGGACTAGAGACAGAGACAGGGGGGGGAAAGAGGGAGGGGGTACTTGGGGGTTTGAGCAAAAGGGAGCTCCTGGGTTTGTGGGGAACTGGAGGATCATGCTTTTATAGAGTTGAAAGGATCTTAGTGGTCATTTAGTCCAACCCCGGCTCAGCACAGGATCTCTGCTGAAACACACCCAGAGAATTAGGGCTTGTCACCTCCCGAGGCATCAGGATCCACAATTAAGAAGTTCCTTTTAATGTTTAGACAAAATCTGCTTCCCAGCAATTTCCACCTATGGGTTCTAATCCTGCTCACAGAAGTGACAGAGAACAAATCTGCCGAGTCGTCTACATGACAGCCCTTCCAGATATTTGAAGACTGCTATTTATCATGTCACACCTTAATCTTCTCTTCTCCAGATATGTGCATCTCAGTGGGGAAGGAGTGCCATAGACCAAAGGCCACCACAGAGAAAGCCCAGTCACTCTCACCTGCCAATCAAATTGACCTTGTGGGGAAGGGCTGCAGCTCAGTGGTAGAGCATCTGGCTTCCATGTGGAAGGTGCCGGGTTCAATCCCTGGCACCTCTAGGTAGGGCTGGAAGAGACACCTGTTTGAAATTCTGGAAATCTGCTTCAGCCAGTGTAGATAGCTCTTAACTAGATGGGCCAGTGGTCTTACTCTGTATAAGGCAGCTTTCTAAATGTTCCTTGCATGAAGACTCTCCTCTGTGTTGCATCTCCTGTGGACATGCTCATTTGCTGGACACCTTAAAATGCCATGCTGCAAACTGGACACAGTACTCCAGAAACAGCTTAACCAAAAGTTAGGAATCTTATGGGGAATACAGGGTTAAAGGGTATAGCAGCCAGGAGCCCCAAGCTCTCTGGAATGGTAGTGGAGCCTAGTAGTTAGGTCTAGCCCATATTTGTGGCAGAATGGGATGGTAGAATGCTGAATGCACTACAGTGGTACCTCGGGTTACATACGCTTCAGGTTACATACGCTTCAGGTTACACACTCCGCTAACCCAGAAATAGTGCTTCAGGTTAAGAACTTTGCTTCAGGATAAGAACAGAAATTGGGCTCCAGCGGCGTGGTGGCAGCAGGAGGCCCCATTAGATAAAGTGGTGCTTCAGGTTAAGAACAATTTCAGGTTAAGAACGGACCTCCGGAATGAATTAAGTACTTAACCCGAGGTACCACTGTACTTCAGACTCCAGGTGGGTGATATCATTTACGAAGTCTTCTTTGAACTTAACTGCAACAACCACCTCCCCCCTTGAGAAGAAAATTAGCACAGCAAAAGTGGTAATCACTTGGACCATTTTTCATTGTACTTGCTTGTTGGTTTACTTGCAGGAAATTCTTATACTCTAATACTTCAGGATTTTACCACCTCATGCTACTGCATGGATAGACAGGTATACTGTGAAGGAGCTAGGAGCTGGGATTTCTGGGTTTTCAGGAAGTGGCGACACTCCCATTTACTTTTAATTCACAACCGTGAGGATGGAAAGAGGTTTTAATAGTCAAGACTCCTGGGTCTTCTGGAGGAAGAGTAGGGCCCAGCGCTACAGAAGGAAGTAGACTCTCCTAGGTTCTTTGCAGAATTGCCACAAAGAGGTCTCTTACACTTTAAAAACTGCATGAAAAGTGAGCATTCAATGTGTGAATTTCTATACTGGGGAGGTGAGGAATGGAGGAAGCTGCACCTGTTCAATTTCTGCCTGTCACACAGGTTAAAGAGACAAAAATAAAATGGGGAAAAATTAAAAGTGAACCCACTCTTTCCAGAATAGTTAAAATTAGAAAATGCCCTCAAAAACAACTATAGAGCTTGAAAGTATTTAACTATTCCTCACTACCTGCCCCTCCCCATCTTCTTTCTTCTTTGTTTCTGTGGTGAATGGGCACAGCTCTCTCGTTCCTGGAGAAACAGGATCTCTGCCCAGGAAAGTAAGGTGGCTACCAGAATGACGCAGGATGGGGATTAGGCCTGGTGGGCTGGCCTGAAGAGAGACTGTGGGACTGGACTCTCCTGGGTTTTGTTTCCCAGCTCTGTAGGTCTTCATCTGACTGCACATTCCACAGCACAAGACCCTTATCTCTTTGCTACACAAAGCCAGTGGCTGCTTGGGCTTTCCCTGGGCAGTTAATACATAACCTGTTTCCCTTTCTGTTGTTTTTTTATGGGAGATTAGCGCAAGGATTAAAATAACAGCACCTCCTACCTGCTGCCATCCCATGTTCCCTTAACAGATTAAAATGGCCCAAACTTGCCTCTCCTCAGCCACTGCTGTGAGTTTCTGAACAGCAGTATCCTCAGTCACATGCTGTCCACTTCTCCCTTAGCGCAATACCCATTGGGGGATTTATCCCTATTTTCTCTCTTCTCATCCAGTATCTTCCAGTCTCCCACTGGACTTGCACTTTTCATGTGCACCGCAGCACTCCCCCCCCCTTATTTGTTCCCATCCAAGGGGCAACGGGTCTTGTTTACTCGTCTAGGAACAGAACATCTGGAGCAATTCGGCACTTAATTACCGCACTTGTCACCGGCATCACCACGGATACAGCGCACGGGAGGGGAGCCGGCCAAGAGGATGAGATAAATAGATTAGTGGGAGATGGAGAGGGGGAAAATAAATGGGAAAAAGAGGCCAGCTAACAGCATCCTATCTAAATAGTCATTGTAGCCCAGATGTTGGGTGTTGCTTGACACCATGTAACAAATACCAGTTGAAGTCCCTCTCAGTCTCTCCAACCTAGAAAAACCCACCAGAACATTTTGCAGATAAGGTTCACATGCTGGCAATCAGAACTCACAACTGCTTCTGAGTTCTCTGAAAAAGGAGATGGAATAGAGAGTTTTGGGGAAAGAGGGAGCCAATTAGATGCAGGACTCCTGGGAGCCAACTGGAAAGGACTGCAGGAGAGGTGTCTAGTAGGTGTCTAGTAGTCTAGTAGTAAGAACTAGTAGGTGTCATGGAATTCTACTCAATATTGATCCAGAGCAAGGATCAACCTTGCTAAGTCTAAACCTTATCCTGGTTTCTTTGTGATTAGGCTTTGACCTGCTAGGTTAAGGCCTATCTCAAACTTTAAAAATCACCCACCCACCTTTTCTACTTATTAGATCCTTTTTGTCTTCCCCCAACCCAGGAACCTAATTTGGTTTATCTGTCTGGTTCCTACATCCTTTGAGCTGCTTCTTCCCCACCTACCTGACTACACACGCCTCCACCATGTCGACTCTGACTCTGGCTCTCTTTCCCACATACCTAACACCACCTGAAGTGAGTGGACAGCCACATTTCTCCCTTTCAGCAACCCCACTGCAGTTGCAGCCCTTACTTTGGGAGGCTGATATGGCTTATGGCAGGAGTGAAGAACTTTTTTCAGACGGCTGCATTCTCTTCTAGGTAGCCTTCTGAGGACCACATGCCAGAGGTGGGTGGGGTTACAAGCAAAAGTGGACAGAACAATTAATGTTAATTTTACCTTTGTGCAGTAAGCTTGTGCTTATGTCCACTCAAATGTCCCTCTCTATCTTCCACTGAGATAAGCAAGAAGCATTATTAGGGTTCAAGGACATATTGCAGCCAGGCCAAAACACCCAAGGAGGGTGCAAAGAAGGGCTGGTGAAGGGTGTGGCCCAGGGGGGCTGTATCCTGACAACCAGATAAAGAGGCCAGGAGGGCCACATTCAGATCCTGGGATGAAGGTTTCCCATTCCTGGTTTATAGGCACAGTAAGAAGTCACAGAAAATTGAATGTTGTACCATTCCCCTTCCCCCACCCCCTGCTTTTTCATATTTTCTTAGGAGAGGCTGAGAATAAGGAATATAAGAACACAAGCCTGTAAGAACAAGCCAATGGCCCATCTAGTCCAGCATTCTGTTTGCGCAGTGTCTGACCAGATGCCTGGGGGGAAGCTTGCAAGCTGGACATGAGCACAACAGCACTCTGCCCACCTGCAGTTCCCAGCAAGTGGGATTAGAGGTATGATGAGAACAGAAAGGCAGATTCCTCTGGAAAGAAATCCTTGTTGGTTAGAGAGATGGAAAACATTGGGAGCCAGGATTCCTGATTGCAAACAAGCAGGTTTGCCACCTTTTATTTTCTTGCAGGGTTCCTGTGGGTTGGTTCAGTGGGTTAGAGGGGGAAGAAGAAGTTGGGACTCCAGGGTTCTCCGTATGCAAAATGTGGTTTAGAAGATTCCAAGGATGGGGGAAGCTGAATTTTCAAGTTCTCTTGAGAGAATTGGAACCAAATGGTTTAGAAAAAGATTTTTTGTGGGGTGGGGTGGTGTTATACCCAGCATTCCTGAGTTCTCCAGAAGGAGAACAGGATGTGGCAGGCAGTTTAATCTGCATTGTGCCTGGAGCTGTTGGGGGTCCCACTGGTGTTAAATGGCTAGCAAGGGACTGACGGCGCCATAGCAACCACTACCACCTGCCATTTGGGCATCTGACACTGTGTGCTTATGCCTGTGTGATGGTTTACATTATAGGCACAGATCCATGTGTATCTGTGGGTGAGCCACAATATCTGTCCTCAAGTTTGTGAAGAGGTGTTCAGGTCACCACTATGTGCCCATGTGTACGCAGGGAGGAGAGTGGAATCAGAAAGAGAAGAGATGTTCTGCAGGTCACAGTGTACCTCTACATACGAAGGCACCAAAATGGCAGCGTACATGTGCCTATGAATTTAGGTATATGGTGTGTTATTGTGTGCATGCAACTAATGTGGGCACATGCAGAGAAAGGAAGTATGCTACATGAGCTGCAATGTGTGTTTTTCTCCATGTCTGTCCAATGATTCCCTAGTGCTGCGTGGATTAATTAGTAGTGTGTAAGTGTGTGAGTGCATGTGTGTATAGCAGAGAAAGAGACGGAGGGTACCTGCACTGGACAGCCTGCCATGGTTATATGGCACTGTGTACATGATGTACACAAGCAAAATTTAAATACATATGCTTTATAATACAAGCAGATTTATATATATTCATGAAGGATAAGGCTATTTGTGGCTACCAGCCAAGATAGCTATGCTCTGCTTCCATTATCAGAGGCAGTAATGCTTCTGAATACCAGTAGCTGGAAGCCACAGGAGGGGAGAGTGCTCCTGGGCTCAGGTTTAACTCATGGGTTTCCCACAGGCATTTGGTTGGCCAATGTGAGAACAGGATGCTGGACTGGTTGGGCCATTGGCCTGATCCATAAGGCTCTTCCTATGTTCTAATGTTTGTTTACATCAGATCACTAAAAGAACCTAAATGTGCAAATTCAGGCGTCTCTAGCCCCGAGTCATCACCACTATTGATTTTAACCCACTAGTACATATTTTCCACAGAAATACAGAATGACTGCCCGCACCCATTCACCCATCCATCCTGGAACTATTTGTTAATACTGCTTAATTTCCCGTCTTACTTAAAATCTTCCCCCGCTGTCTCATAGTCCTTAGTCTAGAACATGGCATCACTGTGAAATGTTAAAATGTTTGTGAGCAGGAAGAAACAGAAATATCCAGCAGTCAGGCCTAGCCTTTAATTGTGCTCTCAAAGGCTGGTCAAATCCTGCTG